AACAATAAAAATCTGTAAAACAAAGAAATATAATTTAACTACATAATGCGAATACAATATAACAAAACGAAACGAATAAATAAATAAATGAACGAATGAATGAGTATTTTACTCCAGTCTAGACAATTGAAATCCTGAAAAAATCTCCAAATAAATATTTGTACAAAGTTGTGTTTTTGTTTGTTTGTTTATTTGTTCTTATTTATTTGTTTATAGAGAAAAACAAATAAACTAAAACTAAAGTAATTTTTTTCTTTAAATCCTGTAACAACTACACGTAGAAATTAAATAAAACACAATGAACAACAATAACATAGCATCATCAGCAACAACATCAACCGACTAAATGTAACAATAACAATAGTGATTGTGTTGCTACGTTGTTAAAATATCATAAACAAATTTACTTTGAAATAGAGAAAAAGATAGTGTGTACAAATGTACATACATTAAAGGTACCCAAAAAAAATATCGATTTTGTTATTATGGGTCATATTTTTATTTATTAGTATCTAAAACTTACTTCTGTAAAATTTTATCCCAATTGGATAACGAAAACATGTGCCGAAAACCGATTGAAATGTGTAAAATTGGGGAAATAATAGGACTTTTTTGGATTGCATTACAAATGATGCCATTAATTATATTTTCTTAAACTTTCTACCAAATCTTATATTCTAGAGAAAATTCCCATCAAAACTCATATCTTTTGGGGCCCTCTAATGTACAAATGTGTGTGGTCATTTTCATATGGGAAGCTATGTTATTCAGACATTTAAAACATACTGACTGGAATGGTGTTGAAGATTTCAGATCGAGGGTCTGTTCAATAACTAAAAGTTGTTACTAATTGTTACTAATATTCACAAAAATATTTCAAATTTGTATTGAAATACAAAAACAATTTGTGATAATTTGTAACAATTATTTGTTATTGAACATACATCGAGTTTGTTTGAATTAACAAAACATTTATTTTTAAAAACAAAATATTTTTGTATGATATAGACAGTGTGGTCAATTATGGATTAGTTTTGTATAGAACTTGTTTATGTCGAATATCATCGATATACTCGATATACTGAAGGGAACTTTATATAGGGTCAGTTATAGAGTAATTCTTATTAAATTCGGAATGGTGAATTATGTTTCTAAGTAATCGTAATTTTTTGAATACTACTCATCAAATTTACTGAAGAAGACTTTGTATGAGGTGTATGGTCAATTGTTCACCGATCCTCATAACATTTTGTTGACCTATTTTGGTTCATATACAACTTATTTACATCTAATATAATCGCTGTACTTGCATTTTTATTCCAGTAATTAGCTTTAAAGTAATTTTCTGAAGGGGACCTTAGATGTGGGTGTTAAAGAAATGAGCGTTAAAGTGATTTTCTGAAGGTGGCCTTATACAGGAGGTAGGGTCAATTATGGACCGATCCACATAAAATTTGGAAGAGAGATTTTGGCTCGCAATAAATTTACATGTGTAGAACTTCATTGCTAAACTCGTAATGAGTAATGAGCGTTAAAGTAATTTTCTGAAGGGGCCTTATATGGGGGTATGGTCACTTACTAACCGATCCACATAAAATTTGGTATAGATATAGAATTTCAGCGCTATACTCGTATTTTTAAGCCAGTAATGAGCGTTAAAGTAATTTTCTGAAGGGACCTTATATTAGGGGTAGGGTAATTTATGGACCGATCCTCTAAACAATTAGTAGGGAGATTTTATCTCGCATAAAGCTGATGTGTGTCGAATTTCTTCCCAATATTCGTAATTTTATGCCAGTAATGAGCATTTTCTATAGCGTACCTTATATAGGAGGTAGGGTCAATTATGGACCGATCCTCATAAAATTTGGTAGAGTGATTTTTGCTCGCGAGAAACTTGCTTATGTCGAATTTTATCGCTGTACTCGTACTTTTAAGTCAGTAATGAGCGTTAAATTATCTGTAGGGGACTTTATATGAGGGGTAGGGTCAATTACGAACCTACCCACATAAAATTTGGTAGAGATGTCGGCTTGTCAAAAACTTACTTGCGTAGAATTTCATCGCTATACTCGTATTTTAAAGCCAGTAATGAGCGTTAAAGTAATTTTCTGAAGGAACCTTATAGGGGGGGTAAGGTAATTTATGAGCCGATCCGCAAGAAAATTGGTATGTATGTACCGAATTTCATCACAATTTTCGTAATTTTATGATATTAATGAGCGTTATAGTCATTTTCTGAATGGGACCTTATATCGGGGAGAGGGTCAATTATGAAGCGATCCTCAAAAAATTTGGTAGAGAGATTTTGGCTCATATAAAACTTATTTATGTTGAATATCATCGGTATACTCGTATTTTTAAAACAGTTATGCCCGTTGAAGCAATTTTTTCTTGTATGGGGGTTATCCGAAAACGTGGACCGATATTGAAATTCGTTCTTTTAAGGGGCGAAAATGTGTATCAAAGGGGATTTTTGTACATTTTTGTGGCCCTTTATAACTTATTAACAAATAAACTTAATAAAATTTTTGTAAATAATTTGAATATATCTTCCAAAAATATGAGACACCTGTTTCGTACTTTTTAAAAATTCAGTCCCTTTTTGGGTGTAAAAGGGAAAAACAGAATTTTTGGTACTTTTTTAGCACATTAAGAAGACTTTTTCGATTTATTGAAGTACATATTAATTACGGACTAACTTTGTAATATTTATTGAAACAAAATGTTTGCTATTTCACTGGGGAAAAAAGTACCAAAAAGGGCAAAATGGGAAATTTTATTTATTCAATTTGATTTTTTGTAAAATTTGAAAAAATACATATTTGGTACTTTTTGAAACCACAATTTTTCTGGAACGAATGAATGCAGATTTGAATCGTTTGAGTTTGATATATATATTTAAACTTAATTTTCTAAAAAGTCTATTCCTAGCCGAAAGGGGAAAAAATGTTAAACATTTTATTAGTGCTTTCCACAAAGGTAGAATTTATTCCACTTTTGGTAGTTTTTCTTCCTTCAATTGATACTCTTTGTATGTTCTATAATATTAATCTAAAACACACGATTAGTAAACATAGACCGTCCTTAAGAAACATAAATTTGAACTTATACACGTTCCTGAATGAATAATAATCTGTAATTGGGACCTCTTTGGTACTTTTCCATTCATCAAATAGTGCCTTTGTATTTTCTATAATGGGGAACCGGAAAACATGACTCACGGTTTTTTTTAATGAGAATTTATTTAGAGAGAGGTTTTTGTACTTTTTAATTTTTCAGGTGACAATTTTTGATTTTTTCTTTTTTGATATTGAATATAGATATCTAAAATTTAATATGTAGGAACTAAGTGAATGATAATCTAATGAAAAGGACTTTTGGTACATTTTCGTTCATCAAATTATAGTTTTTGAATTTTCTATCATATTGAACATTTGATTCAGTGAAAATTTCAAAAAGGTATTTTATAGAAGGTTTTCAAATTCTAACGTTTTCAAATCTAAACGAATAAAATAAAAATACACGCTCCTTACTGAATGCGAATTTATTCACTTGATTTCAATAATATTGAACGTAAATTTTTAACCAATTAAAATTTTCTATAAAAGTAATCAAAATTTGTTATGTATTTAATTTTGTTAGAGTGGCGTATGCAAGTAGAAACATGCAAGTAGAAACATAAAATTTAACATGGCTGAATAAGAATCTTTGTTACTTTTTCCTTCTTAAAATGGTACTTTTTGTATGTTCTCTAATATGAAACTAAAACACAAGATTTTAGCTTCATTTAGCAAAAAAATTATATTTTCGCAATATTAATATTAAAATTTCAGAACCGGTGCAGAACAACTTTGATTAAGCATTTTAAAAAATACGTTCAGCGTTTCTGACAAATATTTCTCAATCGTCGATATAATTACTTCCCAAAATTAACCAACATCATATCAACAATAAAGCCTTAAATGTTTTTATTACAATTTTATAGCAGTTTAAATATTTTTAATGTTATTGCTTTTACCCATAATTGAATAACCAAATGTGTACGTTGTGTGTGTATGTGTGTTTAAAACATTTGTATGGACGTGCTAAAGTACTTTTACAATACTCACTTCGAATGATAAATTAACTTTGTGTGCACTTGTTTGTGATGTTTGGTGATTGCAATGGCGGTGTTGTGGGTGGATATAAGTGGGAGTGGTAGCGGTAGTGCAAGAAAGAGAGTGAGTGTAAAATAAATTTGAACAGTTAAAGAGTATAAATATTCATTTGTACATGTACGTATTTTTACAATACGATACATACGAATACGTTAAGTGCTTTTTATGATGATGGTATTGGTGGTAAATTGTTTGTTCACTCTAAGATGGCGATAATTATCATTGTATTTACTACTACAACAGCAACACTACTATTACAAGAACAAAGTGCACATAAAAAAAGGATAAACAAAAGTTGTGCATTTAAAGATAAAAAACAAACGAAACCTTTTTACTAAACACAACAATACTTTTCAACATCATTTACAGCCTCAATTTATTAAGACAAAGGTCACAAAAAAATACAAATCAATGTCTTTCTACTGAAATTAAGGAAATAATAAAAACCATTTTATAAAATGTTGCCCTTTTTAAGTGTTTTTATTTTATAAATAATTTATGAACAAAATAAACCTGTCTTCAAGAATTTGCCATTTATTCCAACAAATTTTTATACAAAGAAAAGTACTTAATAATGAAAAAATAACAACACTACAAAAAGAAATTTAAAAAAAAAATACAATAAATAACAACAAAAACAATTTCAAGAGCGACTATTTACCATGTATTTGCTTGCAGAAAAAAAAAAAACAAAACAACCGAAAAGGAAAGGGTGCTATTATTAACAAAAGTATACGAAAAAAAAACATTAAGCTTAAGTTTAAAAAACAATACAGAATATTCAAATTTTGAAATTAAAAAACCAATTACGTGTTTTTGTGTAATTGTTTATAATCTAACCTCAGTTTCGATGATCTTTTCTATGTACTCGACCGTACGCAATTGAGGTCGTCCTGTTATGGGACACGGCACCTCTTCGGTACGTCGTACAATTTTTTCATCAAGTATTTTTTCTCGTTCACGTATTATGACCGGACCATCACTAGACTTAATGGCAATTTTTGGAAAAACAATCTTTTTTGCCTGCTTTATAAAGTAAAATACATAAAAATATAAATTAATTGAAAATATTACAAAACGTTTTGTTTTTTTTTATTTTTAGGCTTTAAAAACGATAGAAAAAATGAATATAATCTAAACACAAGTCGTACAATGTTTAAACTTTAAATTTCGAGTATTTGAACCTATAAAGAGAAAGAAACAGACTGCTTTTGCCAAATTTATAAAAATTTAACATAAACATTAATTTGCATATTAAAATCAAATTTTCGTCTACTAAACAACTTTCATTAATTAATGTAAAAGTTTTCTTTATGAGGAAAAATAAGAAAAGAAAAATTTGTAAAATGTATTAACAAAAGAAGACCTCTTCTGACATTGTCTCAATTTTTGTTTATTATTTAATTACAAATTGTTTAAAATTTAAAAATAAACTGATTCAAAGTTATTTAAATAAAAAATGTAAATCTGTTATTAAAAATCATTTACAAGTTTACACTATTATTAACTGATTAATACTTTCAAGATTTTCGGTATTAATAATCCATAAAATTCTATTACAAAATTGTTTTTAATAAATCTAACCTAAATTTCGTTAAAGAAACCAGCTGAAGAAAAGGTAAACTTAACCGCATTTTGATGTATTGCAAAGCAAAGCTTTAAGTTACATTGAATTTTTAAAACTTCTCATATCCTTATTTTGTTAATAAAAATCTACCATTTGACATTTTATTATACGTTTTCTATAAAAGTCAATCAATAAACGTATTAATATCCTTTAATATTTAGTTCAACCATAATTCGAACTAATAAATGACATTAAAAAAGAAAATAAAACTGACTGGTCATGTGCAGAGCTGTAAATGAATTCATTGTTTCATTAGATAGATAAAAAGAATGAAGAATGCAAAAAATGTATTTCCCATTTATCAATTTATGAGAAAAGTTCAATTATAAAAGAAAACCTTTTCTGACCGAAATCACTAGGGGGACATCATTGCGCAGTCGAAAACAGAATAAGAATATCATATAAATTCCCTGAGGAAGATAAATACTTAGGGATCATTCTTAACAAACCCCAAAATTGGAAATCGCATGTATCCAGTACGATCAATAGAGCCATTAGGGCATTATTTGTCTGCCAAAGGCTTTTTGGGAATACATGGGGTTTAAAACTGAAAATGATCTCATGGACTTTTAATATCATAATAAAGCCCATTCCGACGTATGCTGCCTTAGTCTGGTGGAGAAAAGTGGAACAGGGCTTCTCTGGACAAACTTTACCGTCTCGTCGGCGTCTCTCTTAATAAGTATAATAATAATTGAATAATTCATCAATGACCCATATATCCGCGTCCATGATTGTGGGTCACCAACATTGGTTTTTGATACCTTATACCTTATGATACCTGAAAAGAACAAATGAGCCAATCAAACATTGATCAGGCATTTGTGGTCCTAACTTCCAGAAGGCAATCTCCATGGGAAAACATCCCACGACCTTTCGGCGGAAATCTACGCCATCTTCATCTGTGCTAGAGAGCGCGTGAGGAGAAGGTTAAGGGGTCTGAGAATTTACATAATGTCAGATAGCCAAGTAGCACTCAAGACCTTACTTATGTATGAAATTAGGTCGGGTGTTGTGATGGACTGTCTGTCCTCATTGAACGAACTGGGTAAGCACAACAAATAGTTGGGTACCCAGCCATGAAGGTCATTCTGGCAACGAACGGGCGGACTGCTTAGCAAATAGATATATTAGAAATATTATCCTTAACCATTATTGGGTATCCCACATGGTTACGTCAGACAAAGATGTGTATCGTGGGTCGAATCGGAATTTGTTTGCCACTGGGAAGCAACAATCACGCTATCAAGAGGAAAATCCCAAAAGTTGTTATCGCTTAACAAAAGTGATCTCCAAATACTAACGGGACTATTCACGGGACACTGTGGTCTCAGATATCATCTATTCATCCTAGGAAACGCCATATCGAAGCTATGCAGATTTTGTGGTTGTCAGGAGGAAACCTAAGAACACTTATTGTGGAAATGTCCAACACTAAAGAAATTTAGGTGCGGCAATACTAACCCCGAAGGATATATGCAACCTTTCAATTAAACCTGTTATTTTCATACGTGAATTAAACCTGTTAAGGTGAACCCATGGGATGCACAAAAGATCCAAAACAGGGTCGCAGTGCTTAAAACTCTCTCTAATCTAATCTAAACTAATTTATTAGGTCAACAAAAAATAAAAAATGCGAAACCAGAGACCCAGATATATATTTCTAAAGGATTGAGCTTAGCCGAATCTTAAGGTTTTCGATATATCGTCTGGTCCAATCAGTGTTCGTGAGAAATGTTATATCCGGAATAATATCGCAACCGAAATATGTGCATCTAATTTTGACGAAAGCCTAAAAATCATAAAGAAAGTGTGCCAGTGGTTGTACAGTTGTGCCCTATACGTAATGTCATATTAACCTCAGATTTGTTCATTTGAAATAGGCTTTTCGTCTCGTTAGGGCCTTTGTGTTTCTACCTACCAAGAGGTCTTATGCGATTCTCTCGTCCATATTTTCAATTCATCACTCGTTGCATCGAATGGGTTTGCGTTCGATAAGTTAACTAAATGGAGCTCTTTCGTTTAAAGATTTCTTACAATCCAATACAATCTTAGATTTAACTTTATCACTTGATATCGCCTAATTGACCCCTGGCTGTCGGTAAATATGTTAACCCCGTTGGCTCCATATTCATTCCAATCCAATTAAGGCATTCCGTTTAGCTGGACTCTAGTATATTCCCGTTTCTGAGTCTTCAATATAGATCTCAGGCCCGTTTTTTCTCCCAATTTTAATGACACAATATCTCTAGAAACTAATGTGATGACGAAAATCTGAGACCAGATTAAGGATTTAAAACTTCTCAATCCTTTAGAAAATAATTCTTTGGTTTCGAGGTTAAAAATTTGTTGATCAAAACCATTTAAAGCTCTGTTCACATGTCAACATAAAAACTAAATGAAAATTAAATCAAAAACAATACAGTTTCCCCTAAAGAATTTGATTTAATAGAGGAAAATATGGAACAATCAAAAAATATAAAGTTACAAAAATGACAAAAAAAAGTTGATAGTTGGTTAGTAGCATTAAGCATTATATAGCACAAATAATAAATTATATTATTGTTTTCTGTTTTATTTTAGTAGATTTGATTAAAAATACGATTATTGGATATAAATGTTAAAAAATATAAACTAAACTAAAAAATATTTGACACACAAACACGGAGGAGTATAAGTTGAAAAATGCTTTAATGGGGAAGGGACACAATAAAAGACACAAAACAGACAGTTAGTAAATACACACAAGTAAGAAGTACTCAAGGGACAACTGTGGACTTGTTATGGTAAATATTATATTATTTCTAAGCATTTTCAAATTAACAAAAAGGAAAAGTCATACTAACCTCAGTGGGTAGAGTTTCAGTCAAAAGATCATCGGCTATTTTGGTCATATTTTGTATGACAGTTTGGGCTTCGACAGCACCCTTTTCCAAAGAACGCAAACGGGCAGCACGCCATGAAGCACGTTTCTCAGCACTATATTATTAAATGAAACATAAAATAGAGGGTGTTAATATACATATGTTGTTAAGTTGTATTTGTAAAGTAAACAATTTGAAATGAAAAGAAAATTTTACCAAAACCATTAATTAAAGTTTTATTTTATAAACTGTAATTATAGAAATTAAAGTATTTACAAAAAAGTATAAACGAATACTAAGTGTGGCATACAACAAAATACTCGTACATACAAAATTTTTAATTTACTTTAGCTTAACTAACACCTTTAAAGAAAATTTTTAACTTAAATTTGTACAGGAAATCAAAGTGTCGTGTAGTTGGTGTGAGTGAAAGAGAAAAAAAAATTTTAAAAGAACGAACTGAAAACTAAACTTATAAACCGCATAATTACAAAAAAGTACATCAACAAATGTACATAGAGATTTGCGTGCCAATCTTACATTTTGGTAGATACATTTATATTGACTTTATAAGCAAATTGCTACAAATTTTTTATAGCAATTTTAGTATAAAATAAGCTTAAAATTTTTCACAAGACATCTAATATGTACTTCTTACATGTACGAATTGAGTTAGTGGGTAGAGGGGATACAATATTTGTAGCTACTACTACCCACCTACGTAGTACGTATCTCATCTGTAATTGCCTCTGCATTGGTATACGGTTCACAAGATTCAACTACGCTTACACATAGCACACACATATACATAGATATTAAAAAAAATAATATGCTTACCCTTGGATTAGAAATTATACGAACGAGAGTATCTGCGGGACTAGTCTGTGTTTCTACAAGTTTTATTAAAATGGCAAGATATCACAGTGTATGGTTAAGCTTAATTCGATTGTTCTTTAATAATTTTTTTTAGTACAGCAATACGTAAAAATATCGATTTCATGTACTAAATTTAAACTTTCTAAGTCAATTTGTTTAGCCTTTTACATTTAAAATAGACAAGATGACAACCTGAAATCAGAGTTTGTATTACACAATTCAAAATATCCAAATTTGGTTTAAATTCCAAATGTTAGATGTGTTTTAATTCATACCACTGTAAAATCCTGCCATCGAATATAAATTTTCAGTTTAAAAATAATACTATTTCATACATTAAACTGTCTAGAATATTATTTTCCTTATCTAACGAATGTTGTTGCATGAGGCGTATGGGAGTGTTACAGAAACAATTACGTCGTACAACCACTTTTCATAAAGTTTCGTGTTTGCAATTTATAGTATGATTTGGGGAGGGGGAAGTTGTGGTGATACAATTTTGGAAAGAATGAGGACGGACTTGATTAAACATCATATATAATGAAAGGGTTTATTTTTTCTTGTTTACCGGTACACATGCAGAACTTACTTTATCATAGCTTTGCTTTTTTTCAAATTAGAGGTAGATGAGGGAGAAGGGTTCGTCTCTTCGTAGGAAGATGTGATGCCTGCCAATAAGGCGCGTTTTTCAGCATTTGCTGTACGCACTGGTATACGACTAGTGGGTGAAACAGCAACTTCCGGTTCATGTTCTTCATCAACATTGTATAGCAGTTCTTGCTCGTCTGTAACGTCTACATCTTGTTCGAATTGTTGCTCCTGTTGATGAGAATGCTCCAGTTGTTGTGGTTGTTGTTGCTGCTGCTGTTGCTTTTGTAATAGAGCTGGTGGTATTACAACTTTAACCTTTGGTTTTGGTAACAATGAAGGTTTCTTTGTTTGTTCTAGTGCTGGTGTTGATGAGGTTGTTGTTGTTGCTGTTGTTTCTGATGGCACCTGTGTTACTTGGGGCTTAATACGAAGAATTTTCTTAGATTCTTTTTCATCTCTAGTCACAGCTATTGCCGTCGTCGTCGTTGTTGTTGGTATAGCTGTTGCCTTGGTAGTTGTTGTGATTGTTGTTTTTGGTTTTACTATTACCTTTTTAGTTGTCTTACTCGTTATCGACGATTCTAATTTTAAATTTTCCTTAGGTTCATCCTTTACTTTGATATCTTTTATTCTTACAGTTGGTGCTTTTAATTTAGAACCCTTGCTGGTAGTGTTGGTGCTTGTTGTTGCTGTTGGCTTTAAGTTCTTAGCCGGATTTATAACTTTACTGCTTTTTAGGTGCCAGTGTTGTAAATGTGCATTAAATTTAATTTAGATGATATAGAGTTGTGCATACAAAACATTTAATTTATTTGTTATTGTAGCAACAACAAAGTTGTTGTCATTGTTTTAAATGTTGCATTGAATTGTTGTTTATTGTTTTTGATTTTAGAAATAATAAAGAAATAAAAAATCATAAAATAATAAAATTTTAATATTCAGAGTCTAAGTATTTGAAGGATCTTTGTTTTTTGGTGGAGTTAGAAACATTTGATGTCTGATTATTTTCTTTACTTTATATCGGTGGTGCATGGTGATGATGAAGATTGAATTAGTCACAAATTAATCAGATCCATTATAAAGTGCGGTATATATTGATGTTTTTAAAAAGATATATATAAATATATGTATGTATTATATATAAAGGAGCATTCCCTACAATTATTACTGTTATATTTATTTGGTATTGGTTTTACATAAACATACACATACACATTTTATTATAAAAAAGCATATTAGTTGTAGAGATTTGAATTGTAATTGTTAAGAAATTTAATCACATTTTAATAACATTTTTAACTAAATGGTTTTCAACAAGACAGATGTTTATGAGTAAATCACAACCAATTCCCACATTAAATTGTACATATGGTAAAATTAATATTTGCTTAACAATTCCAGAGTAAAAGAATACATTAAACTAAGCTTAAACAATAATAATTAATAAACTTTAAACTTCAGTTGACTTAACATTATGTATTTAAAAAAGCATTACATACATTCAGAAATAATTGTTTAAGACGGTTGAAAAACGAACTTGTCGCCATCATTTCTGAAAAAAAGTCTTAACTAGTTTCCTAAAAAATTTTGAATTCATTTTAATCTAATTTTGTGACAGTATTTTTATATCGAAATTTAGAACATGTTTGCGTTGGTTAGTTCAGGGAACTATCAAGCAATAGATTCCAGTTGACAATCTTCAAGGGGAATATTCCTACATAAAAACAGACAAGTGTGGCAATAGCTTTGTGTAGTTATGTTAAATTTGAAAATATTTTATAAGTGCGACGTGGTATCATAAATAATTAAACTGTTTAACAGACCACATATTCATATTTTCAAATACTGAAAAGTAATTAAATCTGCAACAATACAACCCATATGTTGCTCATTTGTTAATGATAAATAAATGAAAATTTATTAAAATTCAGTACCAACGACAAAAATTGTTAAAAGATGTTGCTCATATGTTAACGAGAACGTTAAATACAGAATTGGAAAATATTACACAATAATAATTTGCGCTTCTAAAACATTGAAACAATAAAATAAAAATACATAATGCTTTTCGGAACACATTATCCTTATATTTAGGTAGAAGATATCCATGTATTTTACAAACGTTTCAGATATGTTTCTAACCCAAATTTTGCAGAAATATATATACAAATTAAAAATTTATACAAATATCTGTTTTTAATCTTCCATCTCTGGTAAATTGTGTCTGGAAATAAATATGTATTTATACATGTATAAAATACGTTGTCTCAAAGTTTAAATTAATTAAACAAACATAATTATATTAAAAAAAAGAATACAATAAAGAAAACGAAATGATTTAAACTGACAATCGTTTAAAAAATCGTCTCGTAATGGAAAGTAAATATATTTTGTTTAATAATTTATGCTGTAATGAATCCAGATAGAACCTATTACCGATATACATATGTAACGTGTTATGAGTAACGGGTGTACTATAGATTCAAATTCTATGTACTCGAACATTTTATAAAAACATTTATTTAAATTACGTAGTCCTGTATGTCTGGAATAGGTAATAGGCTACTTTTTATTTTGAAATTCTAAGTGGGCGAGGAGCCATGTCCATATTAAGAAAATATTAAATCCGTATATTTGAGATCATATAACAGAGTCCTCAAATTTTGTCGGAGCAACTTTAGTGTCAATATGATTATTTAGGACAAAAAGTAGGAGGAATATAATTAGGGGCGTGGCACCTCCCATATAAATTAAATACAAGAATTAGTTTATCTTGGAAACTATTACAGCTAGAATCTTCAAATTTTGCAGGAATAACTTTCTCAAACCCCCATATGAGTTAAATAGAAAATTTCGTATATCTCAGAAACTATTAGAGCTAGAATCTTCAAATTACTTGAAGAATCTTGACATTCATCTGAACATTTAGAGTATAACGGGCGGACTTTTAATGGGGAACTTGGCACCTCCCATATGAATTATATATAAAATTTCGTTTATCTTGGAAACTAATAGAACTTGATTTTTAAAATTTTGCACAATATTCATTTGAACATTTGGAGGAAAAATGAATCAAATAGAAAAATTCGTATATCGTATAACTTCAAATTTTACATGAACAACCTTGACATTCATCTGAACATTTAGAGCATAACGGGCGGACTTTCAATGAGTGGCTTGGCACAACACATAAATACAAAATTTCGTGTATCTTGGAAACTCTTATATTATTCAAATTTTTCATAGATAGATAGAAACTTGCGAATTTGCAATAATTTGCTTGACATCTCTCATATGTAACATATTATAAATCTGGAAAACTAATGTAGTTAGAATCTTCAAAATCGTTAAGTGGGTTTTTTATCTACACATATTGCTTTTAGGGTAGCAAGCACACTGGGTATAGCTAGTAAAACTATAAAATAGAGCTTTTTTCGAATTTTTCAACTTATATTTTTATACCCTACACCACTTTAGTGGGGAGGGTATATTGGGTTTGTGCTGATGTTTATAACATACAAAAATATTCGTCCTATACCCATCTTAAAGAATACCAATCGGCTTAGAATCGTTTTCTGAGTCGATTAAGCTATGTCCGTCTGGTTGGCTGGCTAGCTGGCTGTCCATGTAAACCTTGTGCGCAAGGTACAGGTCGCAATTTTCAAGATAATTGGATGAAATTTGGCACACTCCTTTTTCGACCCAAGGACGAAGCCTATTGAAAATGGTTAAAATCGTTCCATTATTTCACCTAGCCCCCATACAACAGGTATGTTAAATATACCTGTATATTGATAAAAAGCGGCACAACTAAAATTATACAAGCCTTGATGACCTTGCCAAATTTCATAGAGATCGGGCCTCATTTAACCCTAGCTCCCATACAAAGTCCCCTTCAGAAAATTACTTGAATGTCCAAAATTAACTTATAAACACAAATATCGCGATGAAATTCAGCACAATAAAATATTATGTAAATATAAATATATTCACAAAATTTTATCAGGCTTGGTCCATATTTGCCTCTAGCCCCCATAAAAAGCTTCTTTCAGAAAATTAGTTTTTCATCCATAAATTGCTTAAATGTATCGGAACAAGGTAATAGAAGATAAATGCTTTATTATGAAAAATAAATCACATTTAATATTGGTGTAGGGTATAATATGGTCGGTCACGCCCGACTATACTTTCTTACTTGTTATTAATTAGATCTAAGTGGATCCGTTGAAAAATATTATGAAAAAAGCTGTATTTTGACCATATCCAAAATGCGGCCGTTATTCGCATTCATGCTTCATATATTAAATAATTGTTTTTAATTACTTTCTCTGCTGTCATTTTAACAACAATTAAATGTGTATATAATTTGTTTTTTGCTTTAATTCAAATTCATAAAAATTATTTAACACTCTTACAAATTGCGTAAAGTGGAAGTGAAATAATGCTTCAGTAAAAAAAAATTGAAGGACAAACAAAAATTATAGAAATTTTTTTGGTATAGTTCGACTTGTGTACAACTCATGATTCTTATTATCTTAGGTCTTTAAGGCCCTATTCATAACCAAATTTTTATTTTATCAATGATTTTTATCTTGTGTGAATTTTGTTTTATAAACCTTTTATAAAATAAAACTTTGTTTTTGATTGGCTATAATAAGCTTTCTGCTTACAAATTAAAACTAACTCATTATATCGATATTTTCTAAGAAGTAGAACATACAATCTATAGACTTTAAGTAAATGTAACAAACGACGACAAATATATATATGTATGAAAAACAAATTCTGAATTAAAAAAAAAACCTAAATAAAAATTCACTTGAAAAGTTTACAAGTGAAACAACATGAAGTGCCAGACAACTATGTTGGACTTCGCTAAAGAGACCGAGAGAATGAGAGAGAGATTTCGTACTTAGGTGCGTTTATTTTACAGAAAAGTAATACATACAGAAACAAATTTCTTATATTTTTTTCTTATTTTCGTTGGCACAAGAAAAACTTTATAAAATAACGTGAAAATTGGAAAACATAAATCACTCAGGCAGAACTTAAACTTTATTTTAACTAAAACAAAATTCTTTTTCTACTTTTTGTTTCATTTCGTAAATACTTTTTGGAAACTGCCAGGCATAGTTAGAGGGAACACCACAATGAAAAAGGAAGAGCGACAAAAAAAGTAGAAAAACAAACCGTGAAACAAATTTAAATTTTATACAATTTGTAAATTTATTTCATTGTTTACTGTTTTCTTTTGTAAATAACTCTTTTGGTTGCAGTCTTTAGCTTAAATATTTACGGCTGTATTTATAAAAACTTATTTTAGGTTTATTAAACAATTTTAGGCAAAATTCAGGAAAATCGTATTTATAAACGTGAAATAGCTTAAAACACCTTCAATAAACCATTGACAATTAGAAGAATTTTATTGTAGGCTCGACCCTTCTTTAAGCCAACAATAACTTGATTTTTAACAATTTTTTTCTCAAATAAGGATTTTTCCGGTAATTTTAGGTTGATTGCGAAAAGTAATTATGGTTTCTTTTAAAATAAAATCTAAAAATTCTAATTTTAACGTTTACAAATTTGTAAATAAAATCCCAGAAAATTTTTAAACGCTTATATTTTGAGGAAAAAACTCAAATCTAGGCATTATTGGATTAATGCATGAATATATGACAATATTCCAATTGTCCAGCACTATTTTTAGGCAATTTGGAAACGCCCGTCTGT